TATAATAAAATTAGAATTTTATAAAGAAAATAATAGTTTAATTTGAAAATATACATATATGATATTACGAATAAAATACGATTTAATATAAATAAAAAAAAAAATATAAATACAAAATATCACATTTAAATAATAAATTTACTTTAAAAATAAAATTTTTTTTAGAACAATATTTTATTGGAACTAAGCACAGCTGTGCGTTTTCGTCTAGGGGCCGAAATCGATGTAATCTCGATGAATTTACGTACATTGATGCTATAGATATAAAAAATGACTTTAATATTTAGAATTGCAGAAATGGCATTTTTCTGCATCGATAGCATAGAAGACATCATTGAAATAATATTGATTTCGGATTTTTACTTTTGTCGCCGGTACCGAAGTGCATTGGGCCCAGTGGATCCTGGATTCAATTATTCGGTCATTATTCGATCAAACTCACGCGGTTTCGCCCTCGAAAGCGTTTGTGCCTCGAGGCGTTAGACAGGCCGTCACTTCGAAGGCCAATTAAATCTAGTTGAAAGACCGACGACGGCTGTCCCGTCGAGGACTCGTATCCGAACAGTAGATGCGCTCTCGTGCGTTGGTGCCAATTATCAATTATCCGTCGTTAATCGCCTACCGATCATGTGAAATCCGGCGAATCTGTCCGTCTTTCTTTCCTTCTTTTTTTTCTATCTCACTTTATCTCTCTATCGCTCGATTGAGATACACGTTCCCGTTTCTTCATCGGAACGCGTATAATTTTTTATCTATTTTGAATTATTTTTTTATGATTTTCTCTCTTTTGAATTTTTGCACGATTCCAAACAGAGACTAAATTATAATTTCGAAGAGTTCAGAATTTAATGTTGGAGCACAAGCAAAAATGATCTCGATATCTATTTCTGACTGATGAGAATGAAATACTTGATAGCAAGGTAAATTTTATCATAGCATTGAAAATTGAACTCATCTAAATTATATGGTTCAATCCTAGATTTCAAGTTTTCTCTTTTTCCTGTTGTATTCCTTTCGTACTCCTCTGTTGATGCCTGTTTGTCGATTTGCTCGTTTTTTACGATGTAATTTCCTTCATACAAATCCTTTCCTTTCCTATATGTTTTTTTTTTCCGCTGTATCAAATCTGTCTTCGTTTTACTGTACTACATAGATATGACGAACACTATGCACCATCCTGTAGCAACTTTATACTAATCAGCAGTAGTAACGCTTGGGAAAACATTGGCTATATAAAGTAATAGGATTAATTTTATTGATTAAAATTATTTTTTATTAACAATTAGATAATAATCCTTGATAATAAAATATTTTTTTTTAACTACATTTTTTGATATGATAAATGTTATATATAATTTTAGATTTCATTGAAATGCAATTGTTTTCTATTCTTACATTATCAGAAACATATATTTTTTAAAAATCTTTGTACAAAAGAACAAAGTGGGTTTGATATGTATAACGTTAATTTTATTTTTTGGTTTAACTTTAATCCGTTTAAATAAAATGAATTGGAAAGATTGTACGATAAAAAGTCATGTAAGATAAAAAAAGAGGAAAGTCAGACAAAATGATGATTCTGAGGTTCCGCTTTTAATCAAGACCGTATTTCCGCCGATGAAGGAAGATTCGTCGGACATTTAAGGATCGATCCCACTTACGTAATTTAAGGACTGAACTAAGTTCAGCTCACAGGTTATCCAACCGCTAAAAGGATTGAACTAATTAATTAACTAAGTAATTAAGTCGCGTTAAATGAAGCTGGCAAAGTTATTCATTTGTTCAAAATGATAATAATATTTCGGCAAAGCTTACAATAACTGTAACATTATTTATGCATTATGCAACATTATGCAACATTAACATTCAATATATAACAGACACATCAAGAAAAAAAAATTGCATCATTTTTCATTTAAAAAGGGGTTAATAATTATGCATGTCAAAGTTAGAAGAATATAAGAATTTGAGCAAGATTCTGTTAAATCGCAAAAATATGTAATATACGAAGAATTATTTGAAAATCAATAACGTGAATGAAACAGCTATTTATTTTTTCATCATTAGCTATTTCCTTTTCATATAGCATTGTCTTTATTGGCTCTTATAAAAAAGAAAATTAATCAAAGACATCTATATTATGCGAAACGTTGAAAAATTTGTTTTTAAAGATTTAAAAAGATCTCGAAGGAATATAAATACAAGATGTACATTTTTGAAATATGCAAGAGATTGAGAGATAGAAATGAAGGACTCGAGAATCTATTCGACACGTTTGAAAATGGATTCCCGTTCAGGGCAAAAGTGTGTCACCAAAAATTGATCAGAGAGACGTTATAAAAGAGCGTTTCAGATCACTCGACCTTACCCTTTGAAATCGGTGGATCGATACTGTTCACTTTCAATTGCAATTGTGTTGCAACTTGTTTATTCATATATGACGCCGAAAAGTTGCGATTGGTCACGCTATAAACGAAGCTGTGGCTACGGATCAACCTCCCTATTTTCGAATTAAACGATCGATACGGTCCGCTTGGGGCTGGGCACGGCCGAATACGTCATCGTTAATTCACGTCGTTTTATAGAGACGTCTGGCACCGCAACGTTCACCTAGTGAGATATTCGATAAATTAAAACTCTTGGCCTTTTTCGAGCAAACACATTCAATCCTATGAATATTTTCTCTTCCTCTGTCTTGCAAGCGTATATATCAGAAAACCTTTCGCGTTTACGCTTTTAACAGATGAAGGAGAATCTTTTTATAAAATTGTTGAGGAACAACAGAGAGTGTGTGTGAGAGAGAGAGAGAGAGAGAGAGAGAGACCTGAGAGATTTGAATTGAATAATCGAGTTTTTAATTTTCTATCTCTGGGAGAAGAGTTTTTAAAATTTTACGTTTTTGAAATTTGCGTTGATTTGTTTAACAGAATTTTCAAGACTTTTATTTCTTGAATCTTTAAATCGTTTAATTTCTTTTTATGTAAACACTGAAAACTTTAAATTTCTTGAACTATTTAATATGTCATGTATTTCTTTCTTTACACATACATACAAACACATATAGGGTAAGATGGACAATTTCGAATATAATACAATTCTGAATAAAATAAAATAATCCAATTTTCGTAGTTCAAGTTTGATAAACATAATCTCATTGTGTGGAGGATATTGGAAGGAGAATCAAATAGGAGAAAAAAAAGTTAAACTTTGAAATTGAATTCAAATTTTATTTTGTTCAATAATTTTACCGTATTCGAAATTATATCACCTTATTCTATATGTAATGTATTGTAAATTTATATTACGAAATGTTTTTTATGTATAATGTAATATATTATTTTTATTTAACATACTGAATTCTTTTTGATATTATATATCTTTTTATATTTAAAAATCTTTACAATAATACGTCGTAAAGAAATATTGTCATAAAATTAGGTTGTTTTATTTTAATATTTACATCGCCCCGCCTTGAATCTATTCTTGCTATATAAATACGTTTTATTCATAAAATCTCTGTTTGTTCCTGCGAGATTTTTTTCAAACATAACAAAACTCAATCTATCTATATTTCTGTATCTTGTGCTTCCCTTATTATACCTTCCTTTTCTTAGCCGTGTGTGTGTTCTTCGTCGACCGAGAGCTTTGAATAAATCGTGAAAGAGCGCTTTTCAGCACAGTCACGTCCTAATGAGGTACGCAAATTACTCAATGGCAATGTCGTCTCTTCAGCTTCACGCGGACACTCTTCATGTGGTAACAAGATAAATGTATGTAGGTTGTCCTTTCATCCTCGTTTGGACTCTCGACCGAGTCTTTTTCAAACTGTCACAAACTGTAACTTATTGAGAAGCGGTATTAAAAAATTCGTTAGAAATGACTTTCGATTTTTGGTTTTGAATCCTCATGTCTTTCGACAATTGCGAAAGTTCATAACTCGATTTTAGATCTACTTCACATATTCATATAGATACATTCAAAATTTATATGAATTTTTTACAATATCTTTGAACATACATTGAGTAATATAACTTAAAGATGATGCAATTTTCTTTCTTATATATATTATATTATATATATTATTAAGAATGTTTGTTATACATGTATAGTGGCATAATAAAGAAAATTAAAGAATTATTGCATTTCAGAAAAAATTAAATTTTATCTAATCTCATAATATTGATGACATGCGATTTAATTATAAAAACGTCGTCTCGTTGCAATTAGGATTTCTTGCATTTCAAATGTATCATGAATTGTCCTAATCGCTTGCATCGATTTTTCAGGGATCAAAGAGACAAGAAAACGGCCAACCTTAAGATTGACATCAATGGCATGTAAAAAGGCAGAATATCGGGCAGTCCGAGAAGACGACAAAAGAACGCGCTTTAAGACAGGATATCCACCGGAAAACAAGACATGAGGAAGAACCATACAAGAAGTCGCATTGTCGAGCAATTAAAAGATTCGTCGGCGAGAGATCGCGAAAGGACGCAGAAGCAGTAACACACATACATATATATATATACGAGAAAGAAGGGAACAGAAGAGATGCAAAAATTGCGAGCGTGGGTGGAAGGGCAAGATTTCGCTCTTCCGCCCGAAAGGGACACAGCGAACACATCGGTAGGCAAATTCTTGTAAATTCTTCGACGTTGCAGAACGGAAGTTCGTGCGACTTTAGTGGGGGGGGGGCCCAATATAATCACATAATAATTCCTAGGTATATATATTTTTTAACGAACTTAACTTATCGATTCGCGTACCTACCTTTACCTACTATTTATTTTCACCGTGTCTTTGATCGCGATCGACGACGACGGAGCGAGAGACAGGGGCGGGGGTGATAGAAATGTGGCTAGTGGAGCATCGAGGAAAAGGCAACAGAAGAATGAAGCAAGCGAGGAAATGGATTTTATTTCCTGTATGTGTATACATATGTAAAGAAGAATGGCACTCTTCGCAGTTACACGCGCACGTCATATCGCGATATTTGGTTACACGTACATGTATATGTACTATGCATACACAAAACACACACCCGTACAAACAAATACATTTATACGCGACAGTCGCGAAGATTTTTTTCAAACATACCATGCCACCCTGGGATACATCCGCATGTACCGTAAAATTTACATTCAAATAAATCTGTTGGATGTTCTGGAAACAAATTTTTGACAAATTTCTTAAATAAGTCACATCGAGCTCGAATTTTCCAAATTGTTCATATTGTTGAAAAAGTAATAGTTATAAGTATCGAGCTTCGCAAAAATTAAGCTCATTAGCACGTGATTAAAATACACAATAATGCACAATGCGAATCCTGGTGGTGGCTCTAACGTGAAATTGCATATTCTACATATTGAAACGAAACAAGCGAGGCGAAGATGAGTACATCAAGCTTAATACCAAAGGTGCCCTAAGAAGTGTATTTATGTTTTATCATCGGCGCATCGCGCGCAAAAAATGAGCGCGCGTACATTTAACTATTGTATCTTGTTAAGAAGAGTCTAGTGTGTCCTAGGTGAAGATGTAGTGCGTGTGCGTGTGCGTGCGTGCATGCATGCGTGTGTGCGTGCGTGTGTGTGTGTGTGCGTGCGCGCGCGCGCGCGCGTGTGTGAGAGAGAGAGAGAGAGAGAGAGAGAGAGAGAGAGAGAGAGAGAGAGTCTGAGCAGAAGTGCAAGTGAGAATGGAATTGCGAATGATGACAGAACATGACGAAAAAACATGAAAGAAAGAAAGAGTGATCAAATTGAGAGAATGATAGGTGAGAGAGTGTTTGTAAGTAATAATCTTATACATATATATATACATAACGAACGCGAACATATCATAGAGTTAAGCCTGTAGATGAGAATTCAAGTACGGCGAGAAGAGAATTTGAATTGTCTGTTTCTCCATAAAATAAAAAAATCACGCGAGAGCGGACAGAAGAAAAGAGAGTAATAGTGAAGGTGATGTGCCCCGCGTGTTAGAAACGGCGGCCAACTCGGCACGTAATTTGCCCAAGTGCCTTTCTGTTGGTCGAGTCACAAGCTATAATCGGTAGTGTGTTACACACATAGATCTTGTCCCGATTTTTCGAACTCCCAAAGAGAAAACTCCCGGCGCTTCTCTAAACGTGCAACCGTACCCAAAATACGTCCCATTCGCCTCTATTTCGCCCTATTGTACTTCCCTTTCCCTCCCGCATTCTCCTCTTATTTTCTCGGTGGCGGAAAGCTGCAATGAGGACGCATTAAAGATCTCATAATGATTCAAAGGCCAGAAGCGAGTTTTTAATGAGTATTCAAGCAAAATTTATTTCCCGAAATAAATTTATTAATAAATTCAATAAATTCATTAATAGCTATTTTGATAATTTTTTATTGATATGATTTCTCTTTGACTCTGGGCTGAATGTTTTCATAAATATTCTTAAATAATAGAATGCTTTCATAAATAATCTCATGCATCTGTACATACGTATTGAAGAAAATTATAATGATATTTGCATTCTGTATTTGATATATGATTTTAATAAGTTTACATTCTTAATAAGATTATATTTTTATTGATTATAACATAAGATTATAAATCTTAACAAATAGCCGTTTAACAAAGATCATTAAAGTAGCTTTCCGTAATTTTACGCAACTTCTGTCGAATCCTAGAATTACAAGACCAACCTTTGTATCTCCCGTTATATCACTGGGCATTTATTACATGTATCCGCAATTAACGAAAATGGAAGTTACTTAAGAAATAAAAAAGCCGCCGATTAAACAGTGGATTATATCGGTAAAGATGATCATCCACCGGCATGCTCGGGCGAATCGATCGATCATCCATCACTGATCTCTCATCATCGTCGTCATCGATCGTCAAGTCATGATCGCGTCAGTATGTTCTTTATTTTTCTACGGAAAGCGACTGGAGAGCACTACGTTAGAATCACTCCGCGATATTGGGACTTGACGAATACATGAGACATCTAAATATACGCGTGGAAAAAAAAAGAAGAGAATGGAAAGTAAAAGAATACTGTTATCAGGCAAAATATTCGAATTTCCACTTTAACTCTTTGCGCTCTTACGTTCGAGTTCTACTTTACATATCAACATGTCAACAATGTAGATTATCGAATGGAAAGGGATAAAAAATTGATATTTTATAATGCTACAAATTTTGGATTTAACGCTACAACTAACTAACAAATCACTGCGATAAAAAATGTAATTTACGAATTTTAGGAGGTATAATCTAAGTTATAATCGAATCGAGGCCTTACAATTCGAGGAGCAGTAAAATGGACTGAAATTCTCTATCCATAAGAGTATCCATCTCAGATATTCAAAAATAAATGATTGCGTTAACGTAATTGAGTGATGAAAAAAAATTTGATTAGCGTATCATTGCGAATAGAATAACTAATGCGCTTGAAACCAGACTTTCACATGGTTCGCCTTTTCCTAAAAAGAAATATAACGTTCTCAATGCATCTTTTGCAATTAAGAAAAATAGAATAAATAACATTTGAGTGCAAAGGGTTAATGGAATACGTCAGTGTCCAAAGGTAAAAATCTGAGAATTTTGAATCACGAATAAGATAAATATCTAGTAAAAAAGAAGAGAGAGAGAAATATAGCGAAGATAGAATAATGAAAAATGTAAGCAGACGAGTTTGGATAACGCGACCGAGATCGCTCGAGTATCGCGATCGCGAGGGATGATCGTCGATCTTGGAAAGATGCGAGGATGCAGCGCGGCAAACGCATTATTCGGTGTATTCAACAGCTCGTTATTTTGTAATTAGCCATTAAGAGGCGGATTCGTCGTTATTCACGATCGGAAGCGATGAATCGTTAGATTGAATTTTAAAGTGCTTTACAAGTGAACTAACACATATCAGTAGGCAGTACGCTATTATTATTAACATAGAATGGTATTTGCGTAAGGATATATTAGAGGTTAATATAAAATATGAAGAGGTAAATGTATATATATATATATTAT